TATATGTCCACACACGCTCTCACTGTTTCCCCAAAAAAAGACTGAATTGGAAAATAAGCCCTAGCCTTCTTTTTCAGAATTGTAGTATAAGCTCGTAATATAAGCCCTACCTTTAAAATGCCCCAGTTAAGATTGTCAGCCAAACAGGGGCATTTAGTATTGTATTTCCCAGAAAATATCAACCGGAAAATAAGCCCTAATTCGTCTTTTTGAGCAAAAATTAATATAAAACCGGGTCTTATTTTGGGGAAAACATGGTGTGTGTGTGTGTGTGTGTGTATTACAAACTATTCTAAAAATACGAGTTCTAGATATATTTGTAAAAGAAGAAACAGATATCTTACGATCTCTGGAACTAAAATTATATTTATTATACTTATCAAGCTTTCATCAGCCTCTGCTGACATCGTCGAAAGCTTAGTAAGTATGATAAATATAATTTTAGTTTGAGAGATCGCAAGGTCTGTTTCTTCTTTTACATACCTACCTACCTACTTACATACATGTATGTGTGTATGTGGATAGAGAGATATAGATATGCACATATACACATACACACACATTTTTCTTTAACATACATAAGTGCTTAATAAACAGTGTATTATCTGGGTCAATTTATTTATACATAATCATAATTTCCAATTCCTAATTTCTACCTCTATTGTCTAACCATTGATAAAACAAATATCCCACGTTAAAAATGTATCTGAATCTCCTTTATCCTTTATCTTTCACGTCAAGTATCCATTTCTGCACAACCTAGTGTATTTTTTTTTTAAAAAAAAAATATTTTCTTCTGTAGGATTGCCTATAAAATGGAGGGTGGGGGGAATTGAAATTACCCAAGCCACGATAAATGAAATAATGTTTTTGAAAAAGGGTGTTTTAGAAAAGAGGCAAAGATATTCGGGTTTTCAGCTTCAAAGAAAGTCCCAGTGTGGCTTCGGACCTAAACAAAGCCAATTGACAGAAGTAACTAATTATAAATTTAGGAACAAGAGTGACAAAATACACAGAATTTAAATATCTTTCATCCGTTGTTGTTTTGCTAAGATATGCATCCCTGGAGGGCCAAGCCTCTTTGGAAACTTGGCTTGGCTGCTTGCCCAAAAATGTTTTATAAGGCAGTCCTTGACTTACGGCTGGAAAAAAGCACCCCGATTTATGACCTGTCCTCACGTTTACATCCATCCTAATAGTCGCCAGAATCAAAATTCTTGGCAACTGGGATGCATTTATATGAGGGTTACAATGGCACCACCAGGGTCCTGGGACCGATTTTTGGGATCTTTCTGGAGAGTTTCTGGCAAGAAAAGTTGACAATTCACTTAATGACCCCATGATTCACTTAACAACGATTACAATTCACTTAACAACAGTAATTTTTTAAAATTGTATTTCATGAAGGTTCCAGCATCCAGGGGTCACGTGATTGGCTCTTGCAACCTTCCTGGACAAGGAAAGTCAATTGGGTGAATCCATATTCACTTAATGACCAATGTTTCACTTAACAACAGTAATTTTTTATTGTATTTAATGAAGGCTGGAGTCGCCCGGGGTCACGTGATCGCTGTTGGTGACCTTACTGGAGGGCTTCTGGCAAACAGAGTCAATGGGAGAAGCCTGATTCACTTAACAACCATAATAATTCATTTAACAACGGTGTTTGGATGATTGGGTTTCATGTTAAGTTGGACTGGCTTAATGACCGCAGTGAAACTGTCATAAGATCAGGAGCAATTCACATAATGACTCCATCGCTTAGCAACAGAAGCTGCAATCCGAACTGTGGTCGTAAGTCAAGGACTACTGATAGCAGGAAGCAAAATCCGATCTGACATTGAATGATGTCAAAAAGCTAAGCAGGGTCAGATGCGGTTCGATTCTGGAGGGGGGATCTCTACCACTCCTCAGATATTTTGTATTTGATTGCCTTACTTTTTGTATCTCATGGATGCACGAGACACAGCAGCTTGTCTCTAACCTATGCACAGTCCTCAACTTACTGACCATAACGGAGCCCAAAATATTTCTATCCCTAAGCAAGACAGCCGTGTAAGTTTTGCTCCGTTTTACGACCTTGCTGGCCGTTGTTCAGCGAACCACTGCCATGGTTAAGTGAGTCACACGGTCGTTCGGCGAATCCAGTTTCCCCGTTGACGTTGCTTGTCCGAAAGTCGCAAAAGGTGAATCACCTGACACACACCCCCTCCCCTCTGGGACACCGCGACCGTCTTAAATACGAGTCGGTTGACAAGTGTCTGAATTTCGATCACGGGGACGCTGCGATGGTGGTGTGAAAACTAGTCACGAGCAGGGGTGGGATTTCTCCGCCCGGTTGCTGGGTGGGCGTGGCCATGGTGGGGGCGTAGCCTACCGGAACTTTCGGAAGGGCCATTTTTTCGCCTTCCCGAGGGTCCGGAGGCTTCCCTCGGGCTTCTGGGAGGGCAAAAACAGCCTCCCCTGGGCTCCGGAAGGTGGAAACAGGCCTGGCACTTCCGGGAGGGCTGTTTTTCGCCCTCCCAGAGCCTCCGCATAGACCCTGCACTTTCCTGCATCCAAAATGGGCCATGGGGGGACCCTGGGGGGGGAGGGGAGGGGAGGGGAGGGGGCAGGGTGTGGTGTGCAGGGCCAGCTAGTCGGTTCAACTACTGGTTCAGCGAACCGGTTGTAAATTTAACAACCGGTTCGCCTGAACCGGTCCGAACCGGTTCAGAATCCCACCCCTGGTCACAAGTCACTTTTCCCCCCCCCATGCGTTGTAACTTCAGTCACTAAACGAATTGTTGTAAGTCAAGGACTTCTTGCGAGTGAGTTCAGAGAAGTTCATGCTCATCTGCTTTCTCCCACCCTTCCTAGGTGCTGTTCCATGACCCCACTTTTACTATGGGGCAGGTCTTACGGCGGGTAGCCTTAGGCAGATCGGATCAAATCCTCTTCCGCTGCATCCAGAGTATGCCGCCCAAGGTGGAGAAGGCTTACAACAGCTGCTACAGTGGAGGTACCGTTCGCCTTTCTGGAATGTCTTCAACCAGAGTTTTGCCATCGTGGCCCCTTTAAGAGGTGTGGACTTCAACTCCCAGAATTCCCAGCCCAGCAAGAGGTTAACAACAAACGGGACTACCTTTATTGCGGGTTCTTTCTTTTCTTTTTTGAATTGGGTAAATTTCTTAGTAGATAGTGGGAATGCAGTCGATGTAATATACCTTGAAGTGAAAAGAATTTTAAAAAATCAAAATAACTCCTGATAAGTTAAATTAATCAATGTTAGAGGGGAGCTGGCTAGACAGCCTGACAATTAAGTAGGAAACTGTAGTGCTGGCTAAGGAATTCTGGGAGTTGAAGTCCATGCCTCTTAAAGGGGCCAAGGTTGCGAAACGCTGGTCTTAAGTTTTGGGGGAAAGTACTTTCACGTGAGGAGACAGCTTGGCGTGGCCAACTCCCTTTCTTTGCAAAGGGTTCGAAATAATTTTTAAATCATAACAGAATTGGAAGGGACCTTGGAGGTCTTCTAGTCCAACCCCATGCTCAGGCAGGAACCCCTCTACCATTTCAGACAAATGGTTGTCCAATCTTTTAGTTAAAAGTGCCGGAAGTCTGTTGCAGAGAGTGGTGGTAGTGGCTTTGCAAGGGAGATGGGGGTCCCTGAGTTGTGGAAGGCAGGTGCTACACGTGTCTTTCTCCTCCCTCCATGGCTCAGAAAATGAGCTGAACTTAGACGGGGATCTGATGGAAGAAACTCACATTTTAATGGGCAGGAGATAGAAACCCCGTTTTCCAAACGTGGCATGTGTCCAGTGGTGGGATTCAAATAAGTTAACAACCAGTTCTCTGCCCTAATGACCCCACGGAATAAAAGTACGAGCAAAGGAAAAATAACTCCAGAGAAGCTCAAGCTATAGAAAGTCTGGGCGTACTGCCAACAACCATTAACAGCTGTTACAATGTAAAAAGGCTCGAGCCAGAGGCAGTTTCAGAAAACACTTAAAACAGGCTAGAAACAACACACACACAGGCATACCAGAATGCCTCCTTCCTGCCTCCCTGACAGGATAAACTCCGTCAGGTGGGAAAAACAAAAGGCCGTTGGAAGGTGATTTCTTCCAGTAGCTGGTTCACTGAACCGCTCAGAAAGTTAACAACCGGTTCGCTTGAACCGGTGTGAACCGGCTGAATCCCACCACTGCACGTGTCCCCAGCCCCATGGGGGGCCATTGGTGCGACCCATAGCTGGGCTGGCAGTTTTGTTAAATGCGGGTCCCTGTTTCTGAACCCCCTTTTTTTCCTATTTCTAGGGGTCTTCCACCTGCAGCAGGGAGACCGTCTGAGTTTGAGCATCCCCCGTTTCAACGCCTCCTTCGACATCTCCACTCACGGGACTTTCCTGGGCGTGCTGCGTTTGTAGACATCCGAGCATCTTTGCAACCCCCCCCCCACACACCCCCATCCTACCTCTGAGAAAGATCCCCCAGAAATCTTGAGGTTCTAAATCCAGAAGTAGAGCTCCTTCAGCGGATCATGGCTTGGGCCAAGATAGACTTGACACATACGGGGTGCTCAGATGCAGGAAAGAGACCAATTCAAGCTGACGGCGGCTGAGATTTTCTGCAGAAAAGCGGGGCAGACTGACGGAGCCCACCATGGCTTAAGTTTCCAGGACACTATTGGAGATCCTTCAGCTGGGAGAACCTGAGAATCTGCTCTGAGTAGATTCTCAGGATCTCCCAGCAAGATCGAAGTCACAACCAACATTTTCTTGCCTTTTGGGATGATGTTTTGCAAATGTCCAGGAACCGAGAGATCTAGTCCAGTGTTTCTCATGGTCAGAAAATTCCTATTTATTTCTAGGTTGAATCTCTGTTCGTCAAACTTGGCCAGTTTAAGATTTGTGGACTTCAACTCCCAGAATTCCCCAGCCAGCTCTTTTTCTCACTATTCAATCAAGATATATTAAGTTTCCTGCATACCCACCATCTATTAAGTAAGTTACCCTTATTAAAAAATGGCAGATAAGGTAGTTTAGCCGCCTTTGTTCTTCTCCTATCCGTGCTGCAGCCCTTCCTTGCTGGGGAATTCTGGGAGTTGAAGTCCACGTGTCTTATAGTGGCCAAGTTTGAGAAACACTGGGATATGTCCAATTTGCTGAATTCCTCCTTTTTTTCTGAAGTGTCCCACACAAGGTGGATGAAATTCAGATAATCCTCAACTTACGACCATTCGTTTAGTGACCCGAGTTACTACAGCACTGAAAAACGGATCTTATGACCACTCCTCATGCTTTCAGCATAGCATCCTCGTGATCCCGTGATCAAAATTCGGGCGCTTGGCAGCTGATGTGTAATTTATGATGGATGCAGCGTCCCAGGGAGATTACGTGAGTCTCCCTTTTACGACCTTCCTGTGCTGGCTTCCGACAATGCGGGAAGCCGGATTCACTTAACAACCCCAATTCACTTAAACAATCACGATATCAAATCCAGGATGATTCCCTTAAGAACTGCTTCCCTTAGCAACAGAAATTTTGGTCCCAATTGCTGTTGTAAGTCGAGGACTACCTGCAAAGCAGCAGAGGCATTGTTACCCCCACCCCCCCACCCCCCACCCCGGTTTAAACCCTTCTTCCAAATGCCATCCTGGTTTGATGCTCCTTTGTACAGGAAAAAACCCTGCCAAATATTTGGTGTTGTTTTTACCATCGCAATGCACACAATCTTGCAAATCTTTCTATTTGCCGTTTGCAACCATTGCATTTTTAATTCAAAAATGTATTTTTGTCCTGGGCGAAAAAAGATTGTGCAGAACCAATTCTTTTGGAGGAAAAAAAGAAAGCACTTTTTAAAAATTAAAAAAAAAAGTTTTTAAAATAAAACTTTTGCATGCTTTGGGCACAGAGGGTGGATAGCCATGGTGGGATTCAGCCGGTTCTCACCGGTTCAACAGAACCAGTTGTTAAATTATTTGAATCCCACCGCTAGTGGATACCCAGGTAAATTGCACCCATGGAAGTCAGTGGGGTTTCGCTTGGTGGGCTTCCGTGGGGTGATTTGAAGAGGAAAGTAAGGATTCAACATACAAAATTAGTGGGAATAATTCAGAATAGTCTGAATTTTGCAGCTTGGCTGAATACTGTCAGAAGCAGAAAACAGGTCTGCATTATTAGCTCTCTGTATCCTGAAACTACCTGCAGAGAGTTCTCGCGTGAAGACATTAGATCTCACGAGATTTAAGGGGGAAGGCCAGCAGCGGAACAATAACATAGAGTTAGAAATAGTATAGATCGATTCCCTCTCTTTCTCTACCACTAGGTGGAACTTTCGAGTTCAGTTTCTCTATTCTGTTTTTTTCCCCCCAGGGGAAAACCACAACACACAAACCCACAATTTTGACATGGCTGCAATTAAAGGGGCGGGCACGGCAACGCAGGCAACAATCTTCTTTCTTAAATTGTCTTCGGGTTCAGCCTTAAATTTCCCAGAAAATGAAATTTGAGATTTAAAGAAAAACTTTCACAAGTTCCTTTTTAATACTCTCCCACATCAAGCGCGAACTGGAAACCAAAAGCAGATGTGAGGGTTGCAGCAATTGGGGCAGCCACCAGAGGGTGCCAAAAGGGGAAAAAGCTGTATTTGTGGGTTGCCCCCTAGTGGTGACCCTGGGGTTTTGCAATTCTGGTTTGATAGATCGAAATCCAGGTTAAGCCTGGAGTTCAAGAGATTTGCTCTCTCTCTCTCTCTCTGTTTGTGTGTGTGTGTATGCATGTCTCTCTCTCTGTGTGTGTGTTCAGATTTGTAGTCCCATCCTTCAGATCTTTAGCTATCTTTTTCCTGGCTTAATCTCAGTTAAATCCATTAAAATCCAGGGGTGGGCTTCAAAAATTTTAGCAACTGGTTTTTTTGCCCGGTTGCTGGGTGGGTCTAGTTGGCCTCCTCCGGAGCCTGGGGGAGGGCAAAAACACCCCCCCCCCCAATGGGGCAGGATGGGCCTGTTTCCGGCCTTCTGTGGAGTCTCCGGAAGGCCCATTTTTCGCCCTCCTCAAACTTCCATGCGAGTCCTTACCTGCGATCCAAAATAAGCTGTAAAATTAACTTCCAGTTTGCTTGAACTGGTGTGAACTGGTAGCAACCCACCCCTGCTTTAATCCCAGACTCAAGGTGGATCTTGACAGACTCGAACCCTGGGCCGTATCTAACAAAATGAAATTCAATGTAGAGAAAAGGAAAGTCCTACACTTAGGCAAGAAAAATCCAAAAGGACACACATAGACTGGGTGAAACCAGGCTCAATAGCAGGAACTGTGAGAGGGATCTTGGAGTCTTAGTGGACAACCAGCTAAATAGGAGCCAGCCGTGTGCAGCCGCCGCCAAAAAAGCTAATGCAATCCTAAGTTGCATTAACAGAGGGATACAATCAAGATCAAGGGAGGTACTAATACCACTCTATAAAGCCTTAGTAAGGCCACACCTTGAATACTGCATCCAGTTTTGGTCACCACACCATAAAAAAGATGTTGAGACTCTAGAAAAAGTGCAGAGAAGAGCAACCAGGATGATGAGGGGACTGGAGGCTCAAACATACGATGGACGGTTGCAGGAACTGGGCCTGGCTAGTCTAGGGAAGAGAAGGACCAGGGGAGACAGGAGAGCAGCCTTCCAATATTTGAAGGGCTGCTCCAGAGAGGAGGAAGGGGGTCAAGCTATTCTTCCAAGACCCCTGAAGGCCAGACAAGGAATAATGGATGGAAACTGAACAAGGAGAGATTCAACCTGGAAATAAGGAGAAACTTTCTGATCGTGAGAACAATCAACCAACGGAACCTAAGTTTCCCTTGGAAGTTGTGGGAGCGCCATCACTTGAGACCTTCAAGAAGAGATTGGACTGCCATTAGTCAGAAATGGTGGAGGGTCTCCCGCTTGGGCGGGGGGTTGGACTAGGCGATCTTCCAACTCATCTGTTAAATCTGTTAAACTTTAAACCCTCCTGATTGCAAATTCACAGTTATTCCAGCTCATCCCGGTGGAAGGAGACCTTTTGGCCAATGTAGACGGTTGCAGTTCTGTGGAAATCCAGTCCCTGGTGCTCTCAGCTGCCCCCAGAAACCCCCCCCGACTCTCCCCAGAAAACCAATCCCCTTTCTGTGCCAGGCACCCCTAATCTCCCACCCCCTTGCCTTCTTGGGCGTGCAAATTTATGCCGGTGTGGCTTCCTCCTCCACCCAGCTGAGAGTGTGTGAATGAAAGCATTCGCACTCTGGTTTTTGAAGCCTCCAAGCCAAAAGGTGCCCAGGCCTTCCTCCTTTCCCTTGGCATCCCTTTGAAATCCTGCTTGGCGGGGGGAGGGGGGGCAGGGGGGCAGGGTTTCAACCACACCAGAGGGAGAGGGAGAGAGAGAGGAAGAGGTTGGCTATAAAAGAGCCCTCCCTTAACTTTTATTTTATCTTCAACACGGGGTTGGACTAGAAGACCTCCAAAGTCCCTTTCAATTCTGTTGTAATTCTGCATACTGCATTCTACATTCTGCATCTTCCATCTTGCATTCTGCATTCTATATTCTGTTTTCTACATTCTGCATTCCATATTCTGGATTCTATATTCCGCATTCTGCATCTTCCATTCTGCATTCTATATTCTGTTTTCTACATTCCGCATTCTATATTCTGCATTCTGCATCTTCCATCTTGCATTCTGCATTCTATATTCTGTTTTCTACATTCTGCATTCTATATTCTGTATTCTACATTCTGCATTCTGTATTCTGCATTCTGCATTCTATATTCTGCATTCTGCATCTTCCATCTTGCATTCTGCATTCTATATTCTGTTTTCTACATTCCGCATTCTATATTCTGCACTCTACATTCTGCATTCTGTATTCTGCATTCTGCATTCTATATTCTGCATTCTGCATGACCTTCCATCCTGCATCCTGCATTTATATTCTGCATCTTCCCTCTTGCATTCTGCGTTCTATATTTTGTATTCTACATTCCGCATTCCATATTCTGCACCTTGCATCTTGCATTCTGGATTCTATATTCTGCATTCTGTATTTTGCACCCTCAATCCTGCATCCTGCGTTCTGTATTCTTTTCAAAGGAGATGGGGGAGAGTTAAACTTCAGCCCTCCAGAAAGGAACAAGAGGGGGGGGGAATTATCCCACCCACCCCCCAAATGGGGTATGAGTAAAGGGGAGCGGTGGAGAATCTTGAGTTACCCCTTTGGAAGTGCAATGGCTAATCTGGGGGTGGAATTGGAAGTGGGGTGGTGGGGTCTAAAGCTGAGAAGAAACGGGGTTCAGCTTGGCTGCCCCATCCTCCACCAGCTTCACCAGGGGGTCCCTATCAATCCGGAAGACGTGCCAGTTGTCACGAACGGTGACGTCGATGGCCCCTCTCTTGTGGAAGAAATCGATCGTGGCCTGAGGCCTCTCGGCCGAGATGAATCGGAACTGGGAGCATCCTTTTTCCAGGGTGATCTGGGGAGAAGAGGTTAAAAAATCAGGTGTGTTGGGATTCGGGGACAGGCCCTTAGGGGCCCATGGACCGGATCAGGGGAAGACTTGTTGGCTAGGCTGCTTCGCCCGTGGGTCTTACCTTGGCTGCTTGGTTCAGCAAGGCGGTGCCAACTCCTCTCCCTGGCGAAGAAGACACGAGAGAAAGAGAGGGAGGGAGGGGGAGAAGAGAGAGGGAGGGAAGGAGAGAAGAGGGAGGGAGGGAGGGAGGGAGGGAGAGAAGAGGAGGAGGGAGAGACAGAAAAACAGGGAGAGAGAAGGAGGGAGGGAGAGAGGAGGGAGGGAGAGAAGAAGAGAAGAGAGATAGAGGGAGGGAGAGAGGGTGGGAGGGAGAAGAAAGAAAAAGGGGGAGAGAGAAGAGGGAGGGCGAGAGAAGAGAGAGGGAGGAGAAGAGAGAGAAGAGA